AATGCATGTATATATGTGTATATTTTTATTTGATATATATAGATATATATATACATAGAAGTATTTATGTTTATATTTGTTTGTATGTATATGTATATATATTTGTATAGATGTTTGTATATATATGTGTATGTTTTTTATTTTGTATATATATAGTTATATATTTTTATATAGGAGTATATATATTTATATTTTTATTTGTATATAGATATGAATATATATGAATATATATATATATATACATATTGCTATTTATTTATTTTATTTTAAATTTAAAACAAAATCGATTTTTTTTCATATTTTTTGGAATTTTTAAAAAAATATGATGTGGCATGCTGATGTGGCAAAAAATCTATGTGGCGTGCCACGTCAGCCGCCACGTGGCGTGCCACGTCAGCGGTTAACGGACACTTAACACCGTTTTCGGATTGTGTAGGAAATTGCAGTTAAATTGGGTAGTTCGTGTATCAATTTGGCACATTTGATAATTTGGTGTAGTTTTTTGTCAAATTAAAAATTCGTGTAGGAAAAGGTCACATTTTGCAAAGTTGGTGTAGGAAAATGTCATTTTCCCATTTCTTTATTATATAAATTCAGAGCCTATAGATAAACATATATTTACATTTTATTTTAAATAATAAAATATTAAACAAAACATTTTTTATTTTAAAATTTTCACTACGTTTTAATATCCGTATACTTAGTCATTAAAGTTCAGTAATATTTTAAAAACTGATTCGTAGTTGTATTAAAATTATCCTAAATGGGAGCAAGTGAAATCTAGAATATATATTTTAAATTTTATGATTGAGGTTAGAAGTATTAAATTAATGCGTCGAAGTTGATATATATATATATATGTATATATATATTTGTTAGGAGTCGAAGTTGATATATTCATACAATTACCCAAAACAAAACTTGTTATATGGATAATGCTCTACCTTTGTCGTGTTATAAAAAAAAAGAGAGAGTTAAAATGCCAGTTATATATATGAACTGACTGTAAAAGTTGATTAAAAAAATATATCCAAACTAATTCTAACATTAATACTAAAACTGACAACTAATCCAAGCTTATTCAACTAATTATTACTCCTAATTATCGCCTTTTTGGTGTTAACCTCAATTTAAACAAATATGAGTGGATTTTGTAAGACCTAATACATTAAATAATCATTTTGGTACATACAAAATCTACGCATAGATGTCATGTCATCATCTCTTCCCCTATGACCTGCTCCACTGCCCTATCCTTTAAATATAATATATTTAAATATTATTATTGTAATTATATTATTTTACTAGGCTTAATTTTTGTTTAAATTCAAAGCGTTTGATTAGAAGTATTGTTATTTGTAAACAGATACAAGCATATGAAGACCAATTATGTTGGAATACATATACACCTTACGAAGCTCAATCGGAATTTGCTTATCGATATTTAGTAAAATAAATATACAAATTTTGTGTAGCGTACTAATTGAATTAAATTATAAAACGATAATAATCCGAATCGTTTTTATTAAAAAAAAATGTCTATTGGATTTAAAATTTTATTGATATGATCTGTGTATTAATTGAAAAGATTTCGTTAAAACTTTAATTTATATTATTTTTATAGAATATTAGATATAGTATATATGTATTTGATAATTTCAGTTGAATTTGAAGGGTATGAGATTTTTTTTTAATGGCAACTTGTGACTTGTATATTTATACAAAGTCAATGGCAGGCTCCAAGTGGGCCATCGCCAAGTTGTTTTTCAAGGGTATTATTGTAATTGTATTGTTCGCCCCAACTCATACGGCAGCCAATTTGGTGATTAGGAGGCCCGTGAGCGGACTGTGACCCAAGGTCCTTTACGACCGAATTGACAAAAATGCCCTCATTCTCTCTCTTGAACGACCGATTCGGTTGCCGTATAAAAGGGGGGAGGCATCGTATTCACGTCAACTATGTTGTATACATAAATATACATATGTATTCACACCCAATAAAGAATATAATACGTAATTGATGTCTTATTATAATAATGATGTCTCAGTTTCAATTTACCCATTTTAACGATCCGTATTTTTTAACATTTTTCACATGCCTCCAAAATTTAATAAAGGGCCCGCCGATTAACAGAAAAGTTTAACTTAATGAATTTAATATAATAATCCGAATAAATAAATAAATTATAGGCCCACACGGGAAAAATTAAAAAAGTATAGGGCCGGTCAAAGATTTTACAATTTGCACGCTGACCAATGAGGGTATTTCTGTCAGTCCAGCACGCCTTTCCGAGGATGTTTTCGTCTTTTCACCAAAGACTTCCATTTGACACGTAAGCTTCTTCGTTTTTAGTCTCTTTTTTTTTTTTCCCTTGAGATGGCAGAGAATCGGAAATTTCCAAACAAAGACGCGGACACGACGACCATTAGCAACTGATTTTTCTTCGTCTTTGTTGATTTTCCGGCCTGAGAATCAAAAGCTTGATTTTCACTGCTGGAGATTGGAGGAAATTGAAGGCGTCATAGAGGAGAAGAAAAGCTCAGAGGAATAGAAGAAACGAAGCTCGGAAGGTCTTTTGATTTGTTTGCTTCTCTTTTTTCTTTTTCTTTTTTTTGTTTGATTTTGGAAATCTGATGCCGTGGTCAGACTCTGGGTTCCGCCATTAATGGAGGATTTAGCTTCTGTCTCGTTCCGTTTTGAGTATTAATTTTGTTTTGTACGGTTGGGAGCTGAAGCTTTAAATAGCTCAACTAATTCAACTGGTTTCGAGGTCTTAGGGTTTTATCTTGCAGTAGCCATCTCAGTATTCGCTTCCCGGTGATGATTAATGATCGGATTCGCTCCTAATCTCGAGCTTCATCTTGTGTTTTTTTCCAGGAAGGTGATGAATGTTCCGATCGAATCGATCAATGTCCTTGACGATGATCTCTTACGGATTAAGTTTGATTTTGGTAATAATCGCAACCGATGGAATCATGTCCACCGCCGTGGGCAGTTGTAACGGCGTCTGCGGTCAAACAACTCTGCCTTACCCATTCGGATTCTCGCTGGGCTGTCCTATCCGTTTCGAATGCTCCGGCGGTGTCGCGAAGATCGGAGAGTTCTCCGTTAAGAACGTGACGGATGAAAGCGTATTCGTCGGCATCCCCATCAATTGCAGCCGGTCGATCGAGAAACTGAAGCCGCTATTCGGTGAGCTCCACGCGCCGACGTCGGAGAACAGCTTCCTGGTGGAGCACTGCGGGGACACGTTGGAAGACAGCTGCTCGATCAAGCGGAAGTTCTTGGAGAGCCAACTGAAGTTGCAAAGCTGCGATTCCAATGGAAACCTAAGCTGTTTCTCTCTGGATACGAACATCACCAAGTTCTTCACGTTCGAGGATCTGAGGCAGACAAGGTGTCGTTCTCTGTTCTCCTCGATAGCGTTTGAATCAGTCGGCGAGAATTCCGCCATAGCCCTCGAGTTCGAGCGAGTTCGTTTGGGTTGGTGGCTGTTGGGACGATGCGGAAACGGGACTTGCTCAGAAGGTGCAAACTGCAACGATGTCAACACTGCAGATGGGGAGCATGGGCACAGATGCTCATGCCCGGAAGGTTACATCGGAGATGGGTTCAGTAATGGCAGTCCTTGTCGGAGACGTGAGTCAATTGAACTTTTTCTTTCTGTATCTCCTTTTGTAGCAATGTGGTTCTTCTTTCTGCCTCTGGTCTTTGCAAGTTGAAGATCATCACAGGCTATTTAAGCATCTAAATCCATAACTAGACATAGAAGAGTTAGTTCTTTGGACATTGAAACAGTGGCATTCTGTTGTTCTTGTCCTGCTTTTGAAAACTGGTATATGGCTTTACTAACTGATACTTTTATTTCACTCTCCTTCGGTACCAGCAGACTGCCATGGTTTCAGACTTGCAATGAGGCATTGCAAAGGAGCTAAATTTGGGATTATTATAGGAGGTAAATGGTTGCCAAAAGTGTTTTCTTGTGAAACAGAGTATGGATATTTATAGATGTTTGACTCTGTGAATCCCTTTGCTGTGTAGGAACTGTGACTGGAGCATCCTTGATGGCTGTTTTGGCTCTGTTGCTCTTTTGCATACGAAGACGGTCTATTTCTACGAGAAACTTGACAAGTGCAAAGCGTCTTTTGAGTGAAGCTGCAGGCAACTCGAGCATCCCCTTTTTTCCGTACAAGGAAATCGAGAAAGCCACCAGTGGTTTCTCCGACAAACAGAGACTAGGAACAGGCGCTTATGGTACTGTCTATGCAGGAAAGCTCCAGAATGATGAATGGGTTGCCATCAAGAGGCTCAGACACAGAGACTCGGACAGCATCGACCAAGTCATGAATGAGATTAAGCTCCTTTCCTCCGTGAGCCACCCGAATCTTGTCCGTCTCTTAGGCTGCTGTATAGAACAGGGTGATCCAGTTCTCGTCTACGAGTTCATGCCTAATGGAACTCTATCTCAGCATCTACAGAGAGAGAGGGGGAATGGTCTTCCATGGACCATGCGACTCACCATTGCCACCCAAACCGCCAAAGCAATTGCCTATCTCCACTCTTCCATGAACCCACCAATCTATCACCGTGACATCAAATCCAGCAATATTCTATTGGATTATGATTTTAACTCAAAAGTCGCAGACTTTGGACTCTCTAGACTGGGCTTGACAGAATCCTCCCACATATCGACAGCTCCTCAAGGGACTCCTGGTTATCTCGACCCTCAATACCATCAATGTTTCCATCTTTCTGATAAGAGCGACGTGTACAGCTTTGGTGTAGTCCTTGTGGAGATTATAACGGCATTAAAGGTGGTTGATTTCAATCGCCCACATAGCGAGATCAATCTGGCAGCTCTTGCTATTGATAAGATCGGATCGGGTTGCATTGACGAGATTATAGACCCGATTATCGAACCGAATCTTGATGCATGGACGCTTTCGTCCATACATAGCATGGCTGAGCTTGCATTCAGGTGCCTAGCCTTCCACAGAGACATGAGACCGACCATGATGGAAGTAGCAGACGAGCTCGAACAGATACGGCTCAGCGCTTGGATTCCTAACATGGCAGTGGGTGTAGATTCCCCGGCTGTTTCACAGCATTCCTCGGACTTTGGAAGCGAAAGGTCGACGAGAAAGTCATCGATAGGAAGCAGAAGAAGTCTCCTAGTTCCTCAGAAACCGTCTGATAGCCTCGTGTCCATGGAAGAGATTCAAGACAGCTCTCCAGTATCGGTTCAAGACCCATGGCTTAGTGACCAGAGCTCGCCTTCTGCCAACAGCTTGCTCGGCAACATGCCTCGCTGAATCTCCTGATTTTACCAATTTTTCTGTTTATAGGCCTCTCTTGTAAACGTGCTCCAATCTTCAATGTTCATAACGCTAGAAACAGGCTTTATACTTCAGGTTAGGTGTGTTCCATGGATTCATGAACTGTTCAGTTCACGGACAATGGCAAGAGCTTATCTAAGTAAATGTTAAAGAAGAGAACAATGGGAGAACACAAAACACGTCTTTGTTTATGATCATGGTTCCTGTCTGCTCTGGCTTCATACCAACAAGAATACTGCAACGAATTCAATTCAGTGTTTCTTTAAGTAGATTGAAATTGGACAACAAAATATAAGGACCAGTTATAAGAATAAAAACTACATCTTTAACAGAACAGAGCTCGTCCCGACATCTACTTCTTTTGGGATTTGGCTAACCTTGGACCAGACAAGCTCATCATCTACTGGGGCTTGTAGTTACAGTCATGCAACGCAGGAGATTGATAAGTCAGTTACAAGATCTCAGATATCTGCAAAAAATGAAGGTGAAGCCGAAGTTAAAAACCGGTCATCATTCTCAATGAAACAGTAAAAAAAAAAAAGCTTCTTTCTTGTTCCGGGAAACTGGGAAGTGAAGTCCACCCAAAGATAAGATGGGAGGGAGCCATACATTTATGGGCATCTCTGCTATGATAGTGCCACTGCTTTCTTCAAGGCTTTTCAGAGTCACCACTTCACCACCAACCACCATGTTTATGACAATCCCGTCTAGAAAATGTTCATATATATGTCAGTAGAGACCGGCAATGAATTACATAGGACAGGGTAAAGGAAGAAGAACCTGAGGCCAAGCAAGTCGAGATACGCCTCATATACGTTTCCTGGAACCAGATACGAACAAATGACAACAGTTTAAGCCGGGGCAGCTACACTGGGAAAGCAAAGCATATAAGCAAATCATGGGATGGATGCTTCACCTTCTTCGTTGGCAACTCGTAGTTGATGAGAACACGAGCAGAGAGTGGAGATTCTCCGGAAGAAATCATGGGGAGACACACATCAGTGACGACCACCAGATGAGATTTCTTTCCTTCATTTCCTATTTCACTATCATCCCCTTCTTCTTTTACATCTAACGTATGCTGTTTCCACTTGAATGTCGCTTGCCGGAACCTCTCCAAAACTACAGCTCGTTCTCGCTCCGCCAAGTCGCTGTACTGTCGAAAGGAGCAAACATGGAAACAACAGTACGAACCTGATGAGAAAAACAACCCTCCATTGAACATGATAAGAACACCATTCGTCAGAATGTCGGAAATTGATTCCACCATGGGATGAGGTTATGGAATCCAAAACCACTAGATCACTGTCCCTAAGGGACCAACTAAGAAGCCGAAACAGATGAAAGCGAGCAAATGTTGGGTGAAAAATCACAAAACGAAACTACCCATCAAAGGAATATACCAAAGAGGCTAAGGAAATGTAAGGAAGAGAGGACAAAGAAGAGCAGACGGCGTCAAGCTCGTCGCGGGAGCTGCAACATATGACAATCGGCAGCCATGGACGCCGACCAACAACATTCAGTAATTCCACCACCGTCTCCTGTGTGCCCAAATCCGAGGATTACGATTCAATTTCGCTGTCGATTCGGTGAAATCGAAACGAAAGGACAGGAAATTTGCGTACCATTTTGAACTGGGGTCGATCCACGGCGAGGTAGAAATGCTGCAGTTGGCTGCGAATGCGAAAGAAGAAGGAATTAAGTTTTTTTTAGGGTTTGCGAGATGGAAACAAAATCTGAAAATGGAGGATCATGAAGTTGAGAAAGAAACCAGGGACGAGAAAGAGATTGCGAAGGCGGAGACGGAGCTTCCATGGACTCCATAGCCGCCGCTCTCCCAGGATCTCGGATCCGAATTTTCAGATTGCCCGAAAAGATCCGTTACACGATATATAAACGGAGCTTAAGTACAACTCTTTTGCTTATTAAATTCGGTATAAAATCAAGATTAATTCTGTTTTTAATCAAATAACTAATAAGATATTACCTTTCACTAATTAATCAGCTATATATAATCCTTGTGATCGATTTATTAAATAATACACCCGCCGATATATTTACTGGACGAATCTTGGATCTTCCTTTTGCTATATATATATATATATTTTTTTGGATAAAACCTTTTGCTATATCTTGGCTCGGCCATGTCGGGTTTTGGTAAAGATTCGATTATATTACGAAAACTTATTTAAATTTGATTCAATTCAAATTCAATTGTAATAAAAAAAATTGTTTATTCCTATGAAAATTTTCAATTCTATAGATTATCGGAGTGATCATTTAATCTAATTTTTACATTAAATTTCATTCGATAATATCTATTTTTTCTAATTATTTCGTTTCAATTAGATTGTTTTTGTTGGGATTGCTATTTTATATTTCATCAAATTCATCTCGAATTCAGATATTATTTTTCGGGTTAGATGGGTCCAGTTATAGAAAACCGAACCGAAATGCTGAGCCCTGGATACAACTACAGAACTAGACATGGAAAGCGTCCCTGATGAAGCTCAACGCTCGAGTTGCTAATTGCTCACCAAACATCATCGGAAAGCTCGAAGCGAGATCAACCTCAATGGTTTTCCTTCTGAAGCTCTTGTCTCTTCTCTCCAACTCCTCCTTCTCCTTTTCTCCCACCTCTCTCCCTTCTCCCTCCACGCACCGATCCAGCCATATCCCCATTACTTCCAAGGCGGCTGATCTCACATGATCCCTCAGAATCTCGTCCATCCGCCCCTCCTCTGCCTCCACCGCCAGAATCGCAGCGGCTGGAGAGAAGGCGGACCGGACGAAGAGAGATGGCGAAGTGTATGGATTGACTTCGGCAAGATTGAGGAGAGATTGCCGGTGGGAATCGAGGCGAGTGTCTTCGTAGAATGTTTTGAGGTAGTCTGGATAGAGGACGAGGTCCTTGCGGTGGGGGAGGTCCAGTATGATGACCAGAGAAGTGGGGCTGTTCTGGATGAGTTCTATCACAAAGTTTGGAGCTTCGGTTGATGAGTTGAGGTAGCCCGACATGCTTGTTATGTTGAGTGATGCCCCTGTCGGCAGCTTACAGTGTATCCAGCTTCCTAAGATGAAGTCGATCTGACAGAAGACAAAAGGGGTTCAAAGAAACAGAACACGAGCTTCAATGGATGGCATAACAATCCCAGAATCATGTGTGTGTGTGTGTATATGCGAGATGAGACACATCTACCAAATGATAAGAAAGGAAATTTCAGGCATAGGTTCTTCACAGTGCTCTAATGGCTAATGCAAGGGAGACAATTTCATCTCTGGTGATACGCCATTGATCCAAAGGGATTTTCAGAACTAGAGGTTAGGTTACTGGGTAAATCCTCTCGACTGATTCTAAAGCAGCTTTGAACTATGAAGTGCAAAACCCATAAGCGAGGAGTTTCAATGAGTAATTGTATAGTCGAACACTATCACCATAAGAACAGTTTCTCCGCCATCGATGATCGACCAAAAAAAGAATTTCACTTGCTTCAAAACATATCCTCTCTCGAAGGAATCTGATTCTACTCCGAATTGAACCCTAATTCCACTTTCATCACGCAACAAGAATGTAAAAGCAGGTTTCCGTAACCTAAATCGCCACGATCACGTCTAACTCTCCCATATCCCGATCATTTGGGGAAACAATTCCACAAGAGAATCCCAGAGAAATTCTTACCGGAGAGGAAATCTCGCCGGATCTGATGTATAGAGAGGCTTCAGCGTTCCCGCCCTGGTTCTGGAAGTACCGAACATCGGGAGGAAGGGTACAGGGGAGGAGCTTCGACCCGAGGCGGTCCTCCATCGTCGACATGAGATCCGTCATGAGGCGGCGGCGCGCGGACGAAACGTGAGGGAACTCCATGAATTTCCGGCGGAGATCATCGTGGTGGTCCATCGGCTTGAGTTGAGCTCGAACCGGCTTCGTCAATGGCGACCGCGGGAGAGGAGAAGGCGAAGGTAACAGCGACAGAGTCGAGGAGTGTAAAGAGTGGGAAAACGTCACAGCCATCCTTTTTTCTTTTCTCAAATCCAACTTTGCTTTGAAACGCAGAGAGAAACAAAATATCTTTTTCATCTTTGATAATATTATTTTTATATCCAATTTCTTTTTTGCTGAAAATATAAAATCCAGATACCAAAATATATTTAAAAAATTAATTACTAAATTATACAACAAAATGTAATATATATATATATAAATACAAAAGGAAGAAGAAACACGAGGTTACTAATTTACATTAGAATACAAATTTAAAAAAAAAACAATTAAAGATGATATTTATTCAGTGTGCATTTTTTTTCCATGTAAATACTTGGGAGATAGCTTAGGACACACGGTAACTAACCATAGTAATTATGGAAGACAATTATTTTGACTTTCAATACATGTGCCTGTAGACCATCTGACCAGTCTAATGAATTGATCATACAACATAACATAACAAAACCCCACATGCCACGTAAGAAATTCAACATCTATTTTATTTTTACTATTATTCTAATATTTTTAATTCTCTTCTTTTTGGGGGAAAATCCTTTTGACGATTGAGGAGCGGAAGGGCCATGAATTCAGAGACAGACGTTGCTGGTCTTCCACAGTGGCGGGTGAATGTTAAAGTCCACGTTTTTAATTCCTTCCCTTCCCCTCTTTCTCCTCTCCCCTTTCAACCAAACCCCGAACAATTTCATTCCTCCGCCGTCGCCGGAATCCTCCTCGCCGGCCGGTCTCTTGCCACGTGTCGCTCCCTCGACCATCCCATCTATATTGTCGGGACCCACATTCAGGTGCTCCGACAGGAAAGCCACGAGCTCGTCTCGCTGCCTCTTCGCCGCCGCGAGCTCCGAGCTCAGTGTCTCGTTCTCTCGTCTCAGTTTCTCGTTCTCCTCCGACAAATCTGCGACCATGTTCGCCGCCGTCTCCACGCTTCCCGGATTCTTCGATCCCGGTGATGACGTGGAGCTCGACCCTAAGTCCTCTCCGGCGGAGTTCGACTGCGACGGCGGCGCCACCACCTTTCTCCGCCGTATCTCCGACAGAAGCTCCTCCTGTCCTTGCCGGAAATTCCCGTTCGCGAACTCCCATTTGTCGGGAACAACTTTTCGAAACCCCTGCAGAATTCAACAAAATTTCTACTCGGAATTCCCAAACTTCTGGAACATCGGGAACCCACCTCAGAGATTTTCCATCCAATTACCAAAATTATCAAAAAATAGACTCACATAGGTGTTGAGCTGACGAATGAAGCTGGAGAAATTATTGTGCTTGAAGTACTGAGGAAGAAGATCCTTAGCGAACTCAGCCGTCTTCCAAACGACGAACGCCGTGCCGTCTTCGTTCCATGAAACGACGTCGTCGGTGCTTGCATCGTCCACGAGCTGATAAGTCTTCGTAAGAAACGGAGCCGGAACAGATCTCTGCGCCGCCGCCATCTCCGGCGAAAACAAAACCCCAAAAAGAAATTCCTTTACTACCAAAAAAACAGAGAGAAGAGAGAAAAGAAGGCCGAAATCGGATCAAATCTGGAGAAAGGAGGAAACTTGGATAGAATCAACAACTAAAGAGCAAGAGGGCGGTGAGAAACTCCCAATCCCAGCAGTAGAAGCCGGAAGGGAAGTTGCGGGAACGGAGGAAATCGGAGGATCGTCTGGTTTCTTCCATCTAGGGCTCGACGAGGAAGAAACAGAGGTGTTGAAGAAGGACGGAGAAGACGAAGAGCACGATCATAATTCGCCGGAGATCGCGTGACGGGAGGAACTATGTTTTTTTTTTTTTTCCGGAGCTTGGGGAAGGTTTTTATAGACCGAGAAAGTGGGTCCGACGAAGGAAAAGAAACGGAGCTTCTCTGGTTCTAGAAATCTTCGGAAGCACCAATTCAAAAGTCTCTGTTTCTGAGTTTGGATTCTGAATTATGCGTTCAGATTTCCTGTCGGGAAAAACAACCTTATCAGAAACCAGACATAACACCTAATAGGCATTTCGGGAAATAGCTTCTATTAACTTCTATTCTACGAGATGGGTGTGATCGCTGATCGGGATTTTTAATTAATCTGATTGCGTAAATAATGGCGTAAAATAACCTAAAAGCTTTGTTATGGGTCATATTTATAGACTGGTGGTTTAAATACTTAGGTTATCTTGATATATGTAGAGAGAGAGAGAGAGAGAGAGAGAGAGAGAGAGAGTTTAAATTCAAAACTTTGTTAAATGAGAATATAACAAGATAAAATATATGTGATCGAAAGTGTTGTTTGGGTTTTTGAAATTGGATTGTCGGTATTATCTTTACGAATTTGTATAAGGTGTTGTTTTATATTTAAACGCAATAGAAAGGTATGGTGTATTTCTTTGACGAATCCGTCTAACGAAATAAAATAAAATAAAACGAATAACTATAAAAAATAACGTTGTGAGATTAATAGAAGAAACTTCATCTTATTTTCAAGCCCGAGTATGCTACGTTTTCAAAAAAAAAAAAAAACAAACCAAGACTTTTGTGGTTTAGGGAGTTTTTATTATTATTATTATTATAATGATAATAATAATAATATCCTCACCTAACATTTCTTGATTTCGCATATGCCCACCAACAAGCTTATCTTGACTTTCCTTTTGATATACTTGAGGTAAAACTATGGGCAGGCACGGACATATATACATGTAATTACACACAAAAGATATATAACGTTAAATACTATAGTAAAAGATGGATACATATTGATAATTAAACAGTCTATACCATTTTATCAAATTATGAATTATGGTCGGATATCGGTACAGCTGTGATGATAATATATATATATTTCTTAACAAAAACAATATAACCCAAATATATATATGTATATAACTTTAATTCTATATATCTCTAACACTAAAATAAAATCATATTGTTAGAGCGGACACCGAAATTAGATAGGCAGTTTTATTGTAAAGCGAAACCAGAGTTTAAACACTTTGGTCAAAACGGTCATCATCAAAATGTAACGGTGATTGTGTCGATGAGCGCACACGACTAAATATTGTGAAGCTCTCCATTCGCCTAAACCTTATTTATTAAAATTAATTATAAAAGTGTTTGACAAACGGATCATTGCAATATAATAATGATATTATTTTAGGTATTAGAGGGAGGAAATCAGTCCAAACATCCTGGACTTAAATGCGATCTAATCTTAATTAGCTTTTCTCTCTTGTGATTATTGTTAATTGGCCGTGTGTTAATGACGCGTGGTCGAGCAATCTTTTATTATTATTGTCATTATTGGGGCACTAATCTAATAAGAAAATGATAAGCCAAATATTCCGGGAATTTGGGGGTGCCCACCATATGTTTGGTGTTGTTAATATCTCTTTAATATTTTAATTGTTACTGGTAATGGTAATTTAGTAAGGGGAAGACGTCATTAGCATCAGCGCTAATGAAACGGCACCATTTTGACTTCTCGGAAATGGCCATCGTCGTTGCGTTTAATAACGGAGCTGCCACTCTTGTGCGTGCCAAGCGAGAAATGGCAAGTCATCGTGTTACGTGGCATCATTCTAGTGGCTCATTTGTTCACAGATATGCGTCTCGCTTTTTAGCCTGGTCGGCAAAAAACACGTGGACGGCAAAGATCAAGGTTTTCGATATTGGACGGTTCAGATCATTGCAAAACTAATAGCGATTTCAAGGAACCATCACCAAATCATTTGCAAACCAAAAAAAAAAAGTAAGATCCCAGAAAAAGAAGTTCAGTATTTGGCTGAGGTAGGGCGGGCTAGGGTTTTGAGCTTCATCACCATTCGTGAAGGACTCCATCGAGGAAGAAGATGATGCGGGACGAGGCGAGGAGATCGGAGAAGAAGGCGAACGACATGCGTACATTCCATTTTTCTGGCGGTGAGGAATGAATGCAACTGTGTGTGACCTAATTTCGATCGTTATCGGGATTTAATTAAGCTTCGGCGTAGAGGAAAATATGTTTTTGAGGTAAGATTCAGTCAATTGTGTATACTCTTCATTTGTTCATGCTGTTAAGAGTTTCCGATGAGGAGGGTTTGCAACATGTTAATCAAAAACTTGATGCCAAATTGGCTGCACCCTTGGCATAATCTCAGTAAATGTTATGAGTGATGGAGTTGGTGAACAGGCATGAATCAAGTCTGATTTAATTGGCCGCTTTTGTGTTTGTTTCTTACAGATCTCAACCACCAGCGAACAGAGGTTAGCTTTTCATGCAGCGGAACTTGAAATGACGAAGAGGATTCCTCATATGCAGAGGAAGAGGGACGATGAGGATGAGTTTGACGTTAATGGCAGTGATGATGAAGCAATGGAAACGATTGCAAAGCAATTTGGAATAACAAGAAATCAAAAGAGGAAGATAAAATGCAAAATGAACTGATCAAGGGAGAACCTTCGATCCTAAGTTAACATGCGCATTGACATCGATCATGTTTTTCCCTCGTTGCTTAGATAGTGAGTGAATCGATGCCAATCCACAGGAGAAGTTGATTCGTAAGGAAAGACTCTATTTGACGATTACATAATACTGTATTTCAATGCAGGGCCATATATATTCTCGATGCCCAACATGTTCATCCTGCATCTGGTGCATCTCTTGATGAGGAAAAGAGTGCACAATCGGTAAAATCGACAGTGAGGTATGGATGCAATTGTGTACTATTTGATATCTCTCATGGTTACACTATGCATTTATTCTCGAATCAAAATTTGAACTTTGATACCTTAAAGTTTATTATTTTATTTTTTTGTAACTCTTGTAACAAATCACAGCACTAGCGAAAGCTATCCAAAGCAGTTCCTGACTGAACAGGCGCAGGCTGAGAAGAAAGAGTCTGAAGAGAAGTATGAACAAACAAACAGCCCATTAAACAAAGTAAGACCCCTAATTGTTATGTTATCTTTGCATGTTACCAAGTCAGTCATATTAATCTCTCCTTTTCTTTGCTTAGAAACTGAGATCTGGGCGTCATAAAATGGAGGATGATTATTGATGGATATAAATAATGTTCCTAAAGCTGCTTCAGTATGTGGTTTGGTGCCAATAATGATATATTATATGCTAATTTTGATGACATCTTTATTAATGATGAGAGATTAGACCGACTGACTTGGAGTTTCGAAATGGGTGCTAATTATCCCTTACCCTCTTTATCCGTACCATTCATCATTATTTATCTTTTAGGATATAGCTTCGTTGCCTTTGAAAACAAAAACCCAAAACAAAAAGGAGAGAGAAATTTGGTACAGAAGATAATTTTTCCCCCGAAAGTTAAATTTCTGATTTTTTATGGGTCAAAGAGACCATTCGATGCGTCGGTCAGTAATTTTGGTCGGATATCGGTACAGCTGTGATGATACGTGGTGATGTAAACACAATTCAATTATTATTTATGTATGTATGTATGTATGTATGTATGTATGTATGTATGTATGTATGTATGTATGTATGTATGTATGTATGTATGTATGTATGTATGTATGTATGTATGTATGTATGTATGTATGTATGTATGTATGTATGTATGTATGTATGTATGTGTGTGTGTGTATGTATGTATGTGTGTGTGTATGTATGTATGTATGTATGTGTGTGTGTGTATATCAAAGAGGAATTGAATGCTACATTGATTAAGTAACTACAGCTACTGTCTACTAGCCTTGTTTGTCGTCATTGCAAATACCAACATTTATATATATAAAAGTGTCGGATAATCTGTGCAATCTAAAGCCAAGCGAAGGTGTTTAATATGTGGGAAAAGTAGATGGATTTGTGTGTGATGTAATGGTGATAGAAGAGAGAGGAGGGAATGAAGTGTTTGACGGTGACCCATGGAAGAGGAGAAAAGTCACATGGGGAGAGTAATGTACGCTCTATGCTGTAACGGTACCCATGAAGAAACCTCCAAAACGCACACAGTGAAACACTGAGACCTGTCCTAAGCAGAAACACATCACTCTCTTCTTCTTCTTTTAAAATTTGTTAAAATTAAAATTGATGATAACCCCAAATAGTATATCATTCAATATCAATTTGTATGGATGAAGGTATTCATATAACCTGGTCTATACTGTTGGTATAGTATATATATATATATATATGGAAGAATAAAACAAAGAAAGAAATGCATTATGCAGTCGATTTCATTGATTTGATGTGGTTTTTGGCATTTGGCTAACAAAAAAATGTGTATTTTCTTTGGCGTTACTCTTTTTTTTATGGCATATGATCAGACCAATCACGACACCTGTCCTAATGCCAACAAAATCCTCTCTCTCTCCCTCTCCCCATTGCCTTTTCACAAACACCTCTCTCCTCTAAACGGCAGAAAGTCATCTCCTTTACTCAGTTTTCACTCTCCCAATAATCCCCGGAAACAGTGTCTTCTTCGCCGGTGCAAAAAAAAAATGAGTTCCTTTTCTTAGAAAGTTGAAGTCTTTCCTTTGCAAAATCGGAGACCCAGTTGGGATTTTTGGAGTGGAGATGAAGAAGACATCTGCTTCTTCCAACAGTTTAGGCGCATTTCTCAGTCCAGGAGCTCCGAGTCACGGTGACACCTGTTCGATTTACAACAAGGGTTGGAGCTCGGAGCGAGTTCCTCACCCTTCGACCGCCGGAATCAATGGCCGCAGGCACATCTCCTCCGCCTCCGCCTTAGCCACCCCCTTCTACAGCGGCAGAGCTCTGCCGTCGAAATGGGAAGACGCCGAGCGCTGGATTTGCAGCCCCCTGGCTTCTTACCCGGCAGGTGTTTGCAAGAATTCCTGTGTCAACTCTCGCTTCGTGGAACAGAGGAGGCCCAAATCCAAGAGCGGACCCATCGTGCCGCCTCCGCTGCTTCCGCCGTCGTCGTCTTCCTCGGCGACAGGGTGTTATCACTATTCTCCGACGGCCGCGATGCGGGCGGTGGAAGCTCCGCCAGGGAGCATGAGGGGTTTGACGGTGGTGGGTTCGCCGTTTTCGACGGGGGTTTTGGAAGCTGATAGGGTTTTCAGGGGAAGTGTCGGTGGGGGTGGTGGGTGTGATGGGCATGACCATGGTTGGATAGATTTGGTTAGCGAAAGCTCATCTTCTAGTTCCAAAGGTAAATCACCAAACTGGGTGAATAGTACGTTCTAGTCTTCCTTAATCTTTCTGCTGCTCTTTGACCATGATACGTTGATCTGAAATCAGAGGGGTTTGATTTCACACGTGTCAGAAGATATTGTTGATTTTCCCTTGAGGAAATGACATGGGGTCTGGATTTTAGGATGAGTGTTCTCATCTGGCTCTGAGAACCTTGCAGTTTTGTGACTTATGTCCATAAAGGCCTCTCCTTGTGGAAGAAGTAGATCTGCATTTCGTGTTTCCCGTGGAGTATTATTTCGGTTTTTTCACTGATGGATCAGTTATTATAACCTCACATTCTCGGAGAATCTTTGAACAGGGTGCTGAGTTGATGTATGGGAAGATATTACTTGTTGGTCTCCTGCAAGTTCTTGATTTGGGGTTTGGATGTGCAGATAAAAAACAGGAGGACGGGAAGGAGGGAGAGATGGCGCTGTCTCCAGTGGTATCAAGAAGAGATATGGCTACTCAAATGAGCCCAGACGCAACCAGTCCTAATCAATCTCCTGGAGAAAGAGAAGCTTCACCAGTAGTCGTTTCTGTCATAGAGCCTCAGAATGGAAGCCTCTGTAGGCAACAAGAAGTCAGAGAAGTGAAGATCGACAGACGGGCAAGGATGATCAAGCATCCAAAGAGACGAGTATGTCGGGTAAGCAAGAGGGAGCCGCCTGAGGTTGAAGATGATGTTTATATGAATTCAGGAGCTTCTGGTTCCTTGTGGGATATTTCAGAGCCTGCCATGAGTCTTTCCAAGTATGTAAAAGTCTCAGGCTTTGGACGAAGTTTCTTCATCTTTCTTTCATCCAACTTGTCCTGATGATGTATTTGGCTGAATCAATAATGTGTTTGCTGGCATGGGTCTGTTGCAGGTTGCAACGAGAGGAAGCTAAGATAGCAGCGTGGGAGAATCTGCAGAAGGCAAAAGCAGAAGCTGCCATTAGAAAACTAGAGGTCCCTCCCAAATCCTCTTAGCCCTGCCCTGAACAACCCATTGATGAACTCTGGAATTTTGACTGAATAATTTTTTTTGGATTTGGGTATAATGAATAGGTGAAGCTGGAGAAGAAGAAATCAGAGTCAATGGATAAGATTATGAACAAGCTCCAAACAGCACAACACAGGGCCCAAGAGATGAGAAGCTCGATGCCAAGAAAGGATGGATATCACATCTCCAAAAACACGCTCAAACTCACAAATCTCGTCCGCAGAAATACATTCATCAACCCCTTCATGAGTTGCTTTGCCCCCCGTGTCGATTGCAGAACCCCATCCTCCCTCTGATTTTTTTTTCTTTCTTTTTTTTATGAAAGAAGAACAAAGCAACAGTACACTTCATTTTTCCCCTGTGAAGAAGCCCTCTGTCTCGCTTTATTACCACTGCATTCACTGGTCTTATCTTTTTTCGAGGTGCTTAAAGGTATCCGCCCCTTTTAGGACAGTTAAGTAGCAGAAGAGACGTATGGGAGCTCAATTATTAGAATACCATATTTCAAGCGATTCATCACACAAACAGTATTACAAGAATAGTAAAACAGACAAAGCCAAAGCTAAGTTAATGTAATAAACCGACCAAACACTTCACTTCAGTATGGTCGGTACCTCCAGTCTGATCTTGATGGCCTTGAGCTCTGCATTCCATAGCCTCCCCACTGCCCAAAATTTGTTGGTAAAACCAGGAATCAGTACACATTTGACACCATAATATGTGTATATATGAAATATATATGTACTCACGTCATCGAAATTCATGCCTCCGTACATCCTTCCATAAGTACGCATTGGACCTCCATATCCTCCAAAGTAATCAGCTCGCGAACTCATCATGGAACTTCCACTTGATCCAGCTTCATCAAGAGGTGTAGCTGAATCTATAGCCACCTGCCCGAATCCAAAAAGAAAAAAGTTGGTAACCCATCTTTAGTTTTGCTTAGTAATTTTATATCGAAAACATTACCTCATGTCCACAGATTTCATGAGTTCTTCGTGCGACACGATCTGCAACACCGTCCTCAGCAAAGGTCACGAATCCGAAACCTCTATGTCCACTTCTCTTCGGGTCCTACAGGAAGGGAGGATACGTTTTTACACAGCGATATGTTTATTTTTTTGTTTTTCCTGAGATGTTTAACAGCAACCTCGCTCACCTTGGGAATGTAAACATCAAGAATACGGCCGAATCTCCCAAAATAATGGCGAAGATCATCAACGGATGCCTCCTGAGGAAGTCGGCCAACAAAAAGCTTCCTCCCCATTCCCCGCATGGATTCCCCTCCTAATCAAATTAAAACTCCTTTAATATTTAAACATCTGTTTCAAACAATGCTTTTCGGTAGATGGGCTTACGTCCATAAAACGAGGCTGGGTGATCATACAAGGTAGGAGCACCAAGTGCTGCATATCTTGTGGCCGCAGTAATGTAGGCATCATATGCACCATATCCACCCGGAGCCCCATATCCACCTGATGGCGGTGGCATTCGCCCAACCGGCCTGTAATCCTCCTCCTGAACATGAGCACGGAAACACATCATTTCTTGAAAATCATATATAGCACAAGTAACGCTGCAGAAAGAGTGGTCTTCTATACAAAAATGGATCACATTCATTGTGTAAATGAGAAAAAATACAGCTATCAAATAGTGTTATAACTTGCCTTTGGTGTTGCCCGATCAACGGCAACAGTTGAACCTCCCAGTTCATGAGTATCATTCATCAAATCTTCAACTGCATCTGCAGTTACAAAACTAATGCCTTCTGAATCGATACTTTATACTATCAGGGCATGATGAACAAAATTTCTCGTAGTCCCAAGTACTTAACATGCTTCATAAATGATGAATAAGGATAGCCAATACCACAATCATCGATTTTAATGTTGCCTTTTGTCATGAGATTGATGATAAAGCATGTAAAGAACGACCCCATGAACTAAAAAAATATTTAGTATCACTATGCATTCTTCAGCCAATATAGTGCTTGTAGAAGCTACAGGGCATTGAAGAGAAGAAAGCTAACTCACCTGCACTAGCGAATGTGATAAACCCAATTCCACGGTGTTGTTTCGAATTGTGGTCCTAAAATAGATAGCGGAAACTCATATAAAATTAAACAGAAATCCAGGGGAATCAAGAAGCTAAAGCATAGCCCCTAAGCATCAGCTCTTCAACAAGTAGTATAATGTCAGACACATGCAGAGACCAATGACATGTTACCTTAGGCATGTATAAATCTGTTATCTCCCCATACTTTTCGAAATGGCTGCATAAGAGCATAAAGAAACTGCTTATTGTCTAAAGTTATGAGAATCTAATCTCAAACAATGTATAGAAGCCGCTCAGATTACCTTCGGAAAGCTGCTTCAGAAACAGATTGTGAGATCCGAGCCACAAAAATCCTGGTCACCTTTTTTGCAGGTTGTCTCATCTCTTCCTGCAACAAGAACAAACCTCTTTAACAAGACAGCACAGAATATATCTTGGACCGTATTGACTCAAAAGTTCCTGGTTCAACCAACCAACCTTTGGTGTGGCCACTTTGACTTCCAGCATTCTGTTCCCCAGAAAATGTTCGCTTTTCAGTACATTCTGAAGATAACCAAAGATCATCGGTCAGTGAGACAAAATTCTCCAGCAATAATTACTTTTGAAGAAATGGCAGTTGGTATCCATTGGAACGAAACTCCAACTAATAGTTACCTTTGCATCTTCAGCTGAAGCAAAGGTTACATACCCAAATCCACGCGATCTTCCAGTTGACCTCTCCTAAATGCAAAACAGGATCGACAAAAGGACGAATTATGTTGATCAATGAAGCCAAGAACAGAAATAACATACCAACATGAAAAAATATGACCTTCACGAAATCACAAAACCGCTATCCAAACGTTTTCAGCTTAATTTGTAGAAAACCTAGACGAAAAATATAACTGGAACGCAAACCTTCATGACAATACAATCCTCCAAGTCTCCAAATTTTGACATATATTCCCTCAGCCCATCGGAGTCAACATCCCAGGGGATACCCAAAACCTACAAATCCATCACATTAAGAAGCAAATTGAGAAACCGATTCACGCAGAAAGATCTGGAAAAGATGAGATCTTTATGCTCAACAGACAGGCCCAATTACCACAAGCTTCCGTTCCATCGGGAGAAGGAAGAGAAGGAGCGAATGAAGATCTGGAGGGAAACGAAACCCTAACACTCAAAAATCTCTCTCTGCGACCACTCTTCTCTCCCACTAAATCTCTCACACTCGTTTCTTCCTCCTCCTGCACACGATAATAAGCACGTCTCTTTCTCACACATATATATATCATCAAACACCAAATCATCATTTTTGCTTTACTGATTCTCGCCGAGAACAAAGTATAGAAAAATCAACCCGGAAGCTGATTAACCTAAGCTTGCAACTACAAAAAGAAAATCCGAACTCACCCACTGACCTCAGAATCTCTCTCGCTCTCTCCCTTGGGAATATTTCAATAAAACCCTAACAGCCCGATCCTCTCTCCCTCTTCCTCTCGCTCTCTCTCTCGGATTTCTTTCGTTTCGTACAATTTTTTTAAAACAGAAGAAAGAACAAATGGTTCTCGTTGATTTGTCTCCACCTTTAGGAGAGAGATGGACAGCGAAACGGAGGCATATTCCGGTGATAAAAGATTCACCGTAGATCTCCTTTCTCACAGCTCTCGGATTTACGCCACGTGTATCGCCACACTTTTTATTTTTCAACATCTAAGGCCCATCTAAGTCTATTTTGGGCTTCAGCTTGAACGGACTAATTAAGCCCAAATATGACTCTCGTTTGGGCTTCACTTCAACAACCATCGTATTATTTTTTATCTATATTATTTATTTTTTTAAACATACAATCCAATACCTCAACCTCTATATATATATATATCTATGAAATGGGTGAAGATACGAATTCCAAAAAGTCCACGTGGTAATTTCCACGCGTAAATGGATACTCACTTGACCGCAGCCTGTATTTTATATATATATATAAGATTTGACGGTGGAAGCAGGTCAAATAAATCAAACGGGTCGCGTCGGGTCCATTGGAGTTTGGCATTATATACTGTATTAGTATATTTTATATCCATGCAATGCATAACTAAATACTCCAAAAAAAAAAATAAGTAATCACATTTTCGCCCATCTGGAACTTTTTTTCCTTATTGATTTTGATAACAAAAAAAATAAAATATAATGAATTGACGAATTCACCGTACCAATGGGGAAACTATTGAATCCGTCATCGCACGTGGTCCGACTGGCCAGCCTACCATGCCATATTCTCGTTTCCCATCCATACATATAATATATATACACACGTGCCTTTCGGCGGCGACCCGAATATAAATTAATAGCGTTTATTTGCCCTAATATTATGTGTTATATATATATATATATGTATGTATTTGCGTGCGTGTGTGTGTCATACAAGTTTAACGAATTTGTACACGTCTAACCACAAATGGGTATAAAGGATTTTTTTTTTTTTTTGTGACGGGCATTCATAATTTGCGTGTAATCATTCAAAACCAAAACTACTAGAAGATGGTTGAAATATGGACTATATGAATTTGATATTAACAAGACAACCCCTTTATATCCCATTGATGTTTAAAATAAAAAAAATATATAATTTGATATATATAGTGGATCCAAAATAAATATACCAAGATATAATGACTCTCTTAGTAGGTTTCATAGAGCCATTATACTATGCAGATCACATTATTGTACCACTCTATAGATTTTATTACATGTATGGATTTATGAGGTAGTAATTTCAATATTATTCAGTTATTATTTATAACCTTCCATGCACGTTCAATATGTTTTACAAAGCACGTTATCTTTTCCTTCAATAATGACATGTTTCTTTTTAATTATTCACGTGTATTTATACAACTATATCACCATTTTATTTTAATATATCACCCGAGATGATCCGAACTAACACAATTAATTATATATTAACAAAATATTGTTATAAAGTATATTATTCCAAAAATCAGATTCAGGAGATCTGTTAGGTGGTCATTAAACCTTCAACTACAAGGCAATTGTAAGCGCCCACCCACATTTGGATTTTTCCCATCTTATTGGGATGACATTTCCACTAAACAGTGTATTGATTGAGGCACAGACACGTGATTAGGGTTTTCCTTAAAATGCTTAAAAATAGGAAATATGTATTGTATATTAGATTTTGTCACGTATTTTCTTATATATGTGGACTGAACCGAAATTAAAACAACGTCTTTAGGTGCATATTGCGTGTAAATCACATTTCTTTGCCACAAAGTGATAGATTGGATTAAGTGTAATGATGCATTTAGCGATCTTTAACAACCATTAGGAGATTCATTTCATGCCCTATATTATCCCTATTTGATATAGTATTTAGATATAACACAGCCTCCGCACGTAACTAAATCGAATCAATTTGATTCCATGTTTGGGGAATACTGAAACTACTGAGTATATACATATATATAGTAAAATCATATGAAAATTTATTGGTTGACTACTTGTTTACCTTATCTCGTTTTATTGCCGTATACTGCAACTTATTTGTGTTAATTGATTTAATCATTTTTCTGTAAATGTTTTCCAATTATAATTTTTTTTCAAAACAAAATAATTGATAACAAAATGAGACATGAAAGATCAACAAGTTAACAAAATGATTTATTTGGGTAGCTTGTTTTTTTATAAAGTAAATACATTCGAAATTCAAAGTATAGATGAACAAAGCAAAGGCCCCGACAGACATGAAAAGATCTTTGATCCGACAATTAGGTACTTGAAACATACGCAATTCATAAGGCATCGATCTGAATAACGAGTACAATCTAAACTACATAGAAAACGAAACCATAATATAATAGCTATATTAAATATATAAAATAAATAAATATTGAGATATTATATATATATATATATATATATATATTATATCATCACCAAACTAACAATGCGAAGCGCGTGGCTCGGAGAAAATATCTACAGTCCCAAATTATTCATTCACATTCCACGTTTTTTTATTGTTTCCTTTTTTCTTTCTCTCCACCAAGAGGAAATGGACGTTTATTTAATTAAATAATAAACTTAATATTAACAATTTGTATATTTGCCAAATATCACGTGGTGCATTGTTAGTATTTTCCATTTTTATTATTGGAAAAAAAATAGAAAAATGGAAATAAAAAATCATGGGGTATATAAAGGGGAGTCTGCGCCGCAGCGTTGAAGCATAACACAAGTCGAAGAAATAACTAAAAAGGAAAAAAAAAGGAGAGGAAAGACGGCGATGGAGTGGGTTCGCCGGAAAACAATCGGTCACGGAAGCTTCTCCACCGTGAGTTTAGCCACGACAACGGCCGGAAACTCCTCTCCCGCGCTTCCGCCGGTGATGGCCGTGAAATCGTCTGGGGTCGTTGGCTCCGCCATGTTACGGAATGAGAAACACGTGCTCGACCATCTCGGTGACTGTCCGCAGATCGTCCGGTGCTTCGGCGATGCCTGGACGGTGGAGAACGGCGAAGAGATCTACAATCTGTTCTTAGATTATGCTTCCGGCGGCAGCTTAGCCGATTACGTCAGAAAATCCGGCGGATCTTTGCCGGAATTCGAAGTTCGCCGATTCACGAGAACGATCGTCCAAGGACTGCGTCATATCCACGCAAACGGATTCTCGCATTGCGATGTAAAGCTCGATAATATCCTGATGTTCGGCGATGGAGAAGCGAGAATCTCCGATTTCGGGTTAGCGAAGAAGATGGAGAACGAAACGAGATCGACCATGGAAGAAACTAGGGTTGAAATCAGAGGCACTCCTCTGTACATGGCACCGGAGTCAGTAAACGACTCCGTTTTTGAATCTCCGGCGGATATATGGGCACTCGGATGCTCTGTAGTCGAGATGGCGAGCGGCAAAACGGCATGGTGTTTGGAAGAAGGTCCAAACATCATGTCCCTGTTCTTTCGGATTGGTGCAGGAGACGAAGTTCCCAGAATTCCGGCGGAATTGTCGGAGGAAGGCAAAGATTTTCTTCAAAAGTGCTTCGTTAGGGATCCGGCGAATAGATGGACGGCTGAGATGCTTTTGGATCATCCATTCGTAGCCGTCGACGAAGAGAAATCTTGGATTTCGCCGAGAGGTCCATTCGATTTTCCGGAATGGATTTCGGTTCAGTCTTCGGTAATCGAACCGGTTACGGTTGGGTCGCCGGTTAATGATAAGCCATTCGGGTCGTGGGAATCATATTCGCCGCCGGGGGAGAGAATCAGGGGAATATTCACCACCGAGGAAGCACCTGATTGGTCAGTTTCATGCGATTGGGTCAACGTCAGGTGACGGTGGGGGTTGGGTTTCGTGAATGAATGGCAGCGAATTTATAGGAGATTTAAATCCGACGGTCCAGATTCATTTTTAGATAGCTTGTTGAAGCTGTATAGTTATATAGAACAGAGATTTTTGGTAGAACTGCTCTGTTGGTTGGTATAAACGAAATTTTTATAAAATCTTCCATGCCCTCGAAAATATTTATAATTATTACCGGTTATGATTCGATATTGGAATTTATTGTTGATGTGCTAATCGTGTGGGAAAGGCGCAAGAAGCACAGGCCACCGACTAAACCTAAATTCACAAGCTTTATCTCACGTCACGTGTTGATATTCTTCACACGGATCCGTTACATGAATTCCGTATTAACTCATTTGCCTTTTATACATGAGCTAATCCGTAGACCTATAAACGTTTACATGAACACTTCAACTTCATTACATAAACGAAGACTTTGAAATTAATTTTCAGCAATTTACTGGAGATTTTCTCTCTAATTTACAACTCGAGAGGAGTGTTTCTTGTCAATACAACCGAATGAACGAGGAAATTTACAACGACTATATATATATATATATATATATATAAAAGAACCATCAGCAGCTAACGACAGTGGTGTAATCTTGGGTGGGGGGCTGGCAGATTTCTTGGATCCTAAGAAAAGAAACCCCAAAGGCAAAATGTGTGGGGAAGTCGTCAAGTGAGATTGTCCTTTAGGTCTGGTTCTTGTCCTTCGAATGGCACCTCTTCCCCTTCGAAAGCTGAAGTTTAATAATGTCAGTGTTAACCAAAGTGTCAGAATGATCTAGAAACCAGGACCATGAGCATTGCCAGCTCCAGACTTACCGGGCAAGTTCGTCTTTGGATGAGTAATGTTCATCTCCTACATGAAATCCACAGCCAAAAACCATAGAGATTCTCGTTAGTAACAACGCTAAACAGCGCGGATAAGTTAAGGGGTGGGGGAACGTAGGTCAAGACGCACCACGGGCGAAGGAAAGACAGGGGAGGGTCGAAGAGACGAGTCCAAAGGGAACGAGCTGCCCAAGTTAACTAACTCAGACACGTTGGGGATCGAAACAAACTGGTTGGTTTGGTTGAGAAGAGCTTCATTAGCGGCTTCCAAGGTCACTGGTCGGATCTGAGGAAGATGCAACTGAGGGTGTAACGTTCCACCGGGTAAGCACAGGGGATGCAAGCTTAATCCGTTCCTCATTGTCAGCATCTGCCAATTCAGATGAATTCACATACATTCTTTAAGAGATGGGTCTTAAGAAGACATCTAAGTGGCCAAGAAATGTTCAAGGTTTTTGAAGATAGCGGACCTGGACTTGGAGCTGGAGCTGTTTCAGGTACTCTATGGCTTCATCCAGCATCGAAGCCTTATCCGTCTTACCAAAAGAAACCCAGAAATCGGAGTAGATAAATCAGTTCCATGAAGAAAAAGACAAGGATTTCAAGCTCTTTTCAAGAATGTAACAGATAACCTGTGACAGTTTTCATGTGTATCTGCGCGTGTACATATACCTTGTTCGAGTTCGGGATGAGACTCTGCAAAGCCTTCATTTTCTCATTGATCCTACTTCTTCTCCTCTATAAGAAATTGAGAAAGCTATAAATGAAATGAAATACGAGCGAGCCATGTAACCTTTTCGTTGCAAGAAGAAAATTTCTAACCTTTTCAGACAAATTGTGAACTTCAGCAGCCCTGCTTCTTTTCGAAGAACCACGCGGCGGAGCTGTCTTCGCCGGAGGTTCATCCACTACCGCCTCTACTCCCTCCTGCTTCAGGTATTTCAGAAACCCGACAACATAAAAGACATTATACGCATCGATTTTGAGGCATTGTGGCACGTTCGTTTCAGATAAGAGAACGTATCCATCACAACACCCAGGAACATTTTCTCGGGAAACAAACAAGGATAGAGCATGCAAAATACCGAGAATTTCGAGAAAAAGTACCTCGCTTTCGCAGTCATAGTCGTCGGTCTCGTTCCCACTCGCTCCCACGGAGGAAGACGACACACGGGTCGTCGAGCTGTTCCCCGGCGCATTCCCCGAGAAACAGTTCCCCGAGGCTCCAAAGCACGGGGCGGAGCCGGAACAAACTCCGTCGGAGAAATCAACGGCGCAGATCGCGCGTTTCACGAGCACATCCGACGGCGGAGAAGCGAAGGGTCGCGGGTCCGGTGCGTGTGGGTGGTCTTCGAGGTTCGCCGGAGAATACGACGAAGACGGCGGGGAAGAGCGGACGAGAATCTGCCGGA